TTTCTTTTGTTCGTCTTATTTTTGTTTGTTTGTGTTTTGTTTTTCTTTTATTTTTCTTTTGTTTTCTTTTGTTTTATCTTTGTTTTACTTTTGTTATTTTTCTTTGTCATCATATTGTCTTTTATCTTGTCAATACACTTTTTAACTTGAATTAATAGTGTATATTTAGTTTTAATATTATTTTATTATTCAAATACATTCAAATATTCATCTTATACTCATATTCTTGTTAATTTATTATTGTCAACCATCCACTTTCATCATTTATATCTCTCTTATTTAAAATCTGTCGTGAACACAGTCGTTGTTAACCATTTCTAAATATTTTCATACGTAAAAACTAGAAACGGTAGCAATACTTTCTTTCAATTATTTAGTATTTAACTCTCTCAAGTACACATAATCATTATTATCATTTTTATATAATTCTTAATTAAATATTATAATTATTTCATATCTTATCTATTCATATAAGAACAATAACAACTTTTTGATTTCCCTCTGTAAAAAGTAAATTATAATAATTATAACAAACTTAGCAAAATGATTATAACAAAATCAATATAATTAATAATCATAGCAAAATTAGTATAAAAAGTATAGTAATAGTAGCAAAAGTAATTTTTGTAAAATTATTAAATAATATAAAAGTAATATAATTTAGCTAGTTGTTTAAATATAATTTTTAAATTTTAAGATTTTTCTATTAAGATTTTAAATTAAAATTAAAGAAATTTTTGGATAGGATTCTTTAATTTAGATTTTACTCTTGTATTAGTTTTGGTTTTGAAAGATAAATTACTTATAATAAACCATTTATATTTGACTTATAATTAAAATAATTTTGAAAACTTATTGTCTTGTATTATAACTTATAGAAATTATATTTTAACTTATTGAAGTTACTGAAGTTATCTGATATTATTTTAGCTCATTACCAAAATGAATATATGTTATCTATCTTTTAGATAAAATTCTAAGTCTCTCTCACTTCAAATTTAGTCTCTCTTACTTTAAACTTAGTAAAATCATATAAGTAACATATAAATAACTTGAATGCATTATTTCCAAACACACTATCATTAAATTCACCTAGTTTGGTGAATTCAATGATACAAAACGATATGGTAATTGTTTTAATGGGATTTATTTTAATTTTGAGCAAAAAAAATTCAAATTGATCCAGTACTTTGGAACGCAATATCGCGTGATCCACAGGTTCAATCCCACCATTCGATTCATCAAGGCTAGACGAATCGAATGGTGTATTTTTTTGTCTGGATTAAAAGTGTGGATCACGAGATATCGCGTCCGGAAATTTTATAACTAAAAAAACCGGATTTTTGCCTGATTATTTTTTTCTCAAAATTATTTTTACAAATTCGCAGGAATTAATAAATCGGTTTTTTTTTGTAGTATCGGTATGCACAATATTATCAATAAGAGTTCTAGTGACATCAAAATTTTGACAAGGAGCAAGGTTGTAGTATAACAATATCAAATTAAAACAATTTTAAAGTTATAATAATTTCAATAAAGTTAACAATAATATCTGATTTCAATGAAAATCAAATAATAAGCATGTTTTAAAAAGAGATTGCCAAATCAAGAAAAATTTCAAATTCCAATTATCGAGGCAGATTTACTATAGCAGTTCCTGAACCAACTTTGATTTATCGAGGCGGGTTTATTATAACAGTTCCTGGAATCACATTCGGTTTATGCAATGCTTCAGTTTAACAGGATTGAGTGTATATTAAAATGAATCACTTAATAAAGAGGCAAATCAAGTGTTTTTGTTAATATCGAAAAACAAATATTTTAAATTATTTTAAATTTTAAAAAAGGAAGTTATAATAAAAATCAGATCAATTGAACTCCGATAAAAACTTTGCCACAGCCTTTTTTTTAGTAATAACGATAAGAATTGTTATTAAATTTTCTACAAATGAATGTGCTATACAGTAAATTACACTATCCTTATTAAAATTTCTGAAAGAGATGATGTCAACAGAAAGGCAGAATTACGTATTTGTGAAGGAATGTAGACGCGTATTTCCAACTAGACAAAGCTTAATTCCTATTTCTTGTTGTTTGTTTGTTGGAAATTTTTATAATTGATCCGAATTACACAATTAGCAAATTTAGTTAGAGATAATCATTTGGGAAACAATATCATTTCTAAGTAGAAAATGACTTGGAATATTCTGACGCTTGCCGCTACTCATTAACAATATGTTTATTATGACAAAGTACAACGTATATAATAAATCAAATATGGATTGATTCTTCGTAATGATAGTGGCGTAAATATTTACTATATACTTCAAATATTAATGTTAAACATATCAATTAATAGGTGACGTAATTCTCGTGACAATAATGGCAAGAATTTTAATTGGCTAATTCTTACGCAATTGTGTGACATTCAGAACTCCGATTTCCGCAATCACAAGGGATCCACAAATATTAAGATATGTTACTCCTGTGTTTTATTACAGGTACGCTACCAACCACTTTGGAAGTTCGAAAGGGAGAGGTAGAGTAGTAATTCATTGTGCGTGCGTGTATACAAATATTTCCAATAACTTTATTCGGAAGTAACTCTCCTTTTTCTCCTCGTACTTTCTCTTTTTTCTATGCCGCTTTTGGAGTTTTGTAACATTTTTAAAGCTTAAGCTAATAAATAGTCACTTTTTTTCTAATCGGTTTTTCGAAGTCTTTCAGAATATTTTTTAAACGTCTCTACTTAATTTGGTTATTGAGCTCTTTTTTATCTCTAGTCTGGAATTACTCTCGGCTCGATTTTTTGATCACGATTCGCTTTCAAAAAGCCTGTATAAATTAATTTCCAATATAATTTGAGATAATGGGACAAACCTTATCCGAGCCGATAAAAGAGAAACATAGTAGCTCTGATAAGGATGGTCGTCTTATGTATGCTGCTTCAGCGATGCAAGGCTGGCGTATAAGTATCCTTTTGCCCGTGAAAATTTATTTATGTTTTGTATATTTTCCGAGCTATTATTAGCGCTCATTCCATAAAATAGTAAATTTGGAAAATGAAAAAAGAAATTTATTTGAAATCATGCAAAAAAAATCATCCTTAATTCTCCGTTTATTATCTATGGTTATTAGGCATGGAAGATGCCCATACTACAATTCTTGAACTTGATAACCACAAAGGTCACAGTTTTTTCGCTGTGTATGATGGTCACGGTGGTAATTATAATATATAGTCACTTGGCTATAAAATGTGATGATTATAATTATAGATCGTATTGTAAATAATTTAATTATATTTGATAATTTTTATTTCTGTAAGGTCAAAATGTTGCAAAATATAGTGGCAATCACCTTCACGACCGCATTGTCGGAAATGAAGAATTCGCTAAAAAAAATTATCATGAGGCAATAAAAAATGGGTTCCTTGGTACCGACGATGATTTGAGAAAAGGTAGACAAAAACATCTCTAAATAATGATCATATTATTTTTGCAGTACCATGATTCGATTGTCTTTTTCCTTTCAATTAGATCCTCAATATACAAATGATCCCTCAGGATGTACAGCAGTCACAGCTCTTGTAACTCCTGATAATCGAATTATTGTGGTTCGTAATAAAATAATACTACTACTAATTAAAACTTTGGTATTATGCAAACAGTAATAAAAACATATTTGAACTTTTCAGGGTAATGCCGGTGATTCGCGTGCTGTTATAAGTATTGGTGGAGTGGCAGATCCTATGTCAGAAGATCATAAACCAGTTAATAAAGGTATTTTACCTTTGTATTTTGTAAATTGATTAATTGTTGTGGCAGATTAAAATGAAATCTAGTAGGGTATATAAATGATCAATGACAAAATTTAATACTATACCCCGAATCCATACTTAAACCTGTTACCAAATTATTTAACCCTTTTTTATAATAATTATTCAAAAAATCTGATTTTGTTTTAATCTGCCACAGTTGTTTTTTTTTTTTTTTACTTTTACAAATACTCAAACTTGAACTATTTTTCTAGAGGAAACGGCTCGAATTCTAAAAGCTGGCGGATTTGTGGAGTTCGGTCGTGTCAATGGTAATTTGAATATAAATCAAATCAAATGAATATTAAGGATCACAAAGTTCATAAATTATAATACTTAATATTTCTTAAATTTATTAAAGGTAATCTGGCTTTATCTCGTGCAATTGGTGATTTTGAATTCAAGCAAAATGAGAATTTATCTCCTGAAGAACAAATTGTCACAGGTTGGTTTATTATTTGTTTAATTATTCAGTAAATTTTGCCAGAAAATAATTATGATACACTTTCTATTTTCCGTCGAATTATTTTAGCTATGCCTGAAACTAAAGAAAGACATTTGGATCAAGATACAGAATTTCTAGTAATTGCATGTGATGGTATGCTGAATTATAATCTTAAATATGATTTAAAATCTTTTCATGCTGGCCGATAAGGACATTCCCAATTGATAACTTGGATCTATTGTTCTCTGGTAAATGAGCAGCACTTATGTATCCATAGATGATGGACTTGGAACTTGGAATTTGTAGTTCCTCTTTGACATGCATTTCTATTCGAAAGATGTTATAATTCTGTGGACACAATGATTTCTCCTCGTCAAATCATAAATCTAGAGAAAAATATTTTTGGGGATTTCGTGCCAAGCTTTTGTTAAGGTTATACAAGACAAAAAATTTATACTCCATTATTTTTTCAGGTATCTGGGATTGTCTTACATCTCAGGATGTTGTCGGATTCATCCGTCGGGAAATTTCGCTCGGCCATGACTTGAAAGTCGCTTGTGAAAATCTCATGGAGCGATGTCTCGCACGTGATAGTGAACTTGGTGGCATCGGATGTGATAACATGACAGTGATTATCGTTGCTTTTCTGAACGGCAAAACCGAGAAGGAATGGTACGATTGGATAAAACAGCAAGTACAGCAAGGAGTTGGACCTGCTCTCGAAGAAGAAAAAGCAACTAATGCTGTTTCCGAATCTCTTGACCTGAGTATGGAGATGGACGAAGAAGATCTAGAGCTTTCGCATGATACTACGGACGATTTATCAATTGGGTTAGACGATAATGACGCACCACAACAAAATGCATCCAATACTGATATTCCTGGTACTCAGTCGAGACGACATAATAGAACTAGTTCCGGTAGTAATAGTCACTCATCAAGCCGGAGTAGCAGCAACGATTCTAGTTTAAGCGCAGATTTTAAAACCAATGTTAAAGATGTTGATAAAAAGATAACTTCACAACAAAAAAGTGATCCTACTACCACTACTACTACAGCGACAGAAACAGATAACAATACATCAACATCGCCGACATCGTCGTCGCCACTATCGGTGAAAGTTGCTACTAATAATGTGAAAGAAGCTGATGCTGCTACTACTACTGCTGCTGTTACTACTACTACTGCTGCTGCTACTACCACTACTGCTGCTGCTGTTAGTCAGACAACAACGGGGAATAATAAATATAATACATATCCCCAGGGCACCAAAGACAAGAAGTAATTTAAACACTGCAATGAGTAAGCGCTTGTTTTAAACTTTCGATATTGAACGTATCACGTGTTCAATATCGTAAACAACCAATTTTCATAAAATATTAAATTGATTATTATTCTCTTTATTCTTTTATCATATATATATAATAACAAAAATAGATTTAAAGTGCACACTTCTAATCTCCAAGAGCATCCCTCGACTACTAAACTCACTACAACTGCCACCAAAAAAACCTTCAGTACTTTCATACGCATGACTTCATTTATTTTATGTTTTCGAAAAAAGGACCCAAAAACAGATTGATGTAATTGATGTAATTTATTTCAATTTGGTTAGAAGGAGTTTCCAATTTATTATATTATCACTTGTTTCAACATCATGCCACATATCAAAAGCTTTACTATTTCATGTATCCATGTAATATTGCATTGACTTTATGTATACTGAAAATTTTGGTTCTCTGTATAAAGTAAATATAAATATTTAAAATATTTTTTTGTAATGATGGTGGCGATGGTAGTAGTTTATGTACATCTTTTTTATGATTTTTTATATAATGTATATGCCGTTTAGACTACATATTGTATTGAAAAGATATTAAAAATGTATAATATGAGACAACAAACGGATTGAGGTCCAGATCAGTCTACTCGATATAACGAGTTTATTAGTAAAGTCTTGATCTAACAGATTTTGACTTTCACCATCTGTTCATCAGTCTTCCATTGATAATTAGATTAGATCAAAATTCTCTGCTATACAAATTAAGTTCAACAATAAATGTTACAAACTATTATGTCATTTACATGTAGAAATTACTATAATGTGATGAAACGAATTAGATTAAAAAAAATAATTTAGTGTATATATGGTAAAAAAAGAGGTCATTAAAAGGCGAAATATTTAGATGTGATACGCATGCTCATAGTTCGTCGTTGTTGCTGATTGGTGTAGGTTCGTGTTGTAGCCTAAGCAATAAGATCAATAAAAGATTAATATTAATACCAGGGATAAAAAAACGAGCAAGTGGTTGGTTACCTTTGGATTATCTTTATTAATGATGGCCTTTGCGACTGAATATCCGAAACTCATGGTTGTGACCTGTTTTATTATATTTATTATTATGAAAAATAAATAAAATTAAGAAATTGTAATAGAGTTAAATCATGATGATATAATAAAACAAGACATACCATTGGATTTACGCCCACTGCACTAGGGCACAAACTGGCATCAGCAACATAGAGATTTTTCGTCTCCCAACATTCACCATTCTGATCAACTACTGAAGTTCCAGAATCTACACCCATTCGACTATATCGAGATCGAGATAGAAAAATTTAAATCGATTCGAAACAGAAAAAATAAACAAACATGAGAAAATCCAATCCAAATTCTTACCATGTACCCATCTGATGAGCACTTGCCAGATAAGCTTGATTTGGTATACAGCCGACTTTTGAAACTTTTTTAAGGTACTGCAAAAATTTCGGGTCATTCAATGGATCCTCTTTAGCAGTCACAAATTCATCGACACCCGCTTGTCCAGTCCCAACTTTCTTTGCGCCAGCCGCGACAAGGATCTTTAAACCGGCGATGAGACCAGCAGTGATACTTTTGCCATCGTGTTGACTTACTGTATAGTGAATACGTGGTCTACCATTTGAATCAGTAACAACTCGACCACTGTCTTTGTCGCGTGCTATTACAACCAAAGCAACCATGTGATTGAGTTGTGTCATTAGTATTTTATGTTGTAGAGATGATTTCCAAGGGAATGCATACGGAATCGTGGTTGGATGTAAAGCAGGAACTTCAATTTTTGCTCCGTAGTTATCCCCGTCTACGTTTTCAACAACATTCGAGATTGTTGTGAGAATTGTGCCATTGTACGCTTTGACATCTTTATTAAATATTCCGTATAATAAGACGGCAGGATGTGTATAAAGATTTTTCCCGATATTTTTATTTTTCAATCCACTTCGAAGCAACAACGCCGGACTGTGAATAGCACCACCAGCAACAATAACCTTATTAGCACGTATAATAAATTGATGATCATCTCCTCCGACTCTCGCTAACACGCCAGTAGCTTTTCCACTTTCTACCAAAACTTCCTCAACAAAACAATCTTGAAGGAATTTCGCTCCGTTGTCTTGAGCATCCTTCAAGAATGTCATGAGCGACCCTTGCTTTTCACCGTATTTACAGCCGAATGTGCACCAACCACATTCATGTGGCCTTGCGGCGGAATTTTGTGGTACCGTTTCCACGTGAATTCCTAATTTTTTACAACCTTCCATTAATGTTTTGTTGCTGACGTTGTGAATAATGTTCTCATCTGTTACTCCCATTCTTGCTATTATTACATTTAAGGATCTTCGATAGTCTTCAGTTAGGAAATAGCCAAGTCCTTCTCTGGCCCATTCTTCTCGCACAAAATATTGAGGCTATTCATTATTATTAAATCATTGTTGTTATTATTATTATTCTTATTATTCTTATTGAGAATCAAACAATAACTTACCCTCAATGAAGCAGACCAACTGACAGTAGTGCCACCGCCAAAAGTAGATCCAGCAAGAATATACAAACTTCCATCTTCCGAACTCACCATTCCCGCATTTTCGTACAACTTTTCAGTAGCATCAGCCTGTTCCAAAGTGAGATCACGTTGATGATAATATTTTCCTTTCTCAATAACCAACACACTATTTCCCATTTTCGACAATTCCGCAGCGGCAACACTACCACCAGCCCCCGATCCAACTATGATCACATCGAAAGTTAATTCCATATCTTTTGAAGTGGGAGGATCTAAAAATTCGAACTTGGGAAACTCTTTGTTCGTGAATCGCCCTCCTTTAGCTTTCGGATCTGGTCCTGGGTATCCTATTGCCGGGTAAAAGTCGTATGGCGACGACCAAAACTTGAAGCAAATCAAAAGATAAAAAGATCGAAAAATTTTTCGTTGGAAACCCTGAGAACTTGCGCTCCATTTTAGTAACACTGCTTCCCGTTGCTTCCTGTTAAGTTCATAAAAAGGTTTCGTGTAGCCGGTAAGTGGATACGCGGTAACACCATTCGACAACAATTTAAGCGCAAATTTAATTTGTTGGATTTTATCGTCAGGAACATGTTTTGTGAGCAGATCCTGAAATTTATCTATGAAATCTTCAACGTTTGATAAATCATATTTTCCAAGCGCTTCAACATGTTTCGCGTGACTAGTGACAACCTTGGCGTCACTTTTCATAAGAATGTTTTGTTCTGATCCTTCGAGTTCTGCAATAAATGTTCCAATTAGTGCACGTAGAACTCGCAGTTTTTTTTCGCTGAATATCGTGACTATTCCGGAGCATGTTGACGACGATGCCTTTGGATGTGCTTGTTCTGTCATTTTCGGTAATGGTGGAAATTTAATTTTTATTTTTGGGTTTGAAGCGTGATAGAATTTATAAAACCAACTAAATTTTTGAAATTAAACATATATTCGATGAAAAAGCATGCTAACTAAATTTAAACCAAAATATATTACTCCAAATACAGGAATCCCCGTAGTTCTTAAATAAAATCTACATGAATTAGGTAAAAAGACCCAAAATGAATTCATTTTTATCGTTATAAAAAACATCAAAGAAACACATGTAGTATTGTAGTATTGACTGAACTTGTTTGATCGTCATTAAATAAACGTGAGAAATAATGATGCACATAAAATTTTCAAATTTGGAAACGTGATGTTATCAAATTAAAAAACCTTAAATTATATACGTATATATAACTGAAATTTATTTTATCGTTACAATTATAAAATGAAATAGAATAAGAATGTAAAACCTAATACACTATGGTCCAATAGTACTCATATTTACCCAATCCAATGTTCTCACAACTTTGAAAATAGAGTACCGCTTTCTTCGAATAAATGTTCTCGAATGAAAGTTAGTATTCTGAGATTTCCATCACTGCTCCAAATGATGTAATAAATATTCTTTCGCCTTTGTTTTCATGTATCTTGGCGTCTTTGGCTTTTGTGTTTTATTCTTGCTAACTTCTAGATGATTGCCGTTTTTCTCCATTAATTGGCTAAGTCGATAATTTCACCATCATTCCCAGCGTGACCTCCATTACAAAAATTCAATATCTTTTGCAAATTTTACTTAGCAATATATTCACATCTTTTCCTGGTCCTAGCTATTATGAAGCATAGGAAATTTGACTTCTTATAGTCACAGCCTCTTTAAAAGCACGCTTTTTCTGGTCCCGAGGGTGTGTTTATATGGAAGTACGACTGTATTATTATTATAAAACTAAACATTCATTTAACGATTCATAACAACAAATAGCCAAATTATTTGCCAGCACAGAAGTTGTTTATTGTAGCATTATAACGTTGCCATTGTAAAGAATTGGATTAGTCAGTCTTGCTATAAGGTTCACTGACGTGAGAATGTTAACTCCAGTGAGATGTTATTGCATCATCTTCAAGAACCCGGAATTAGGATATCAATACACTTGGATATGAGATAGTGCATTTACTGCGAATGCTGAAATCAATTGGTTATTTGAAAAATACAAAATAGAGCGGATTCGATTCCCTCATTTATTAATAAATAAATTCTGATGCCATTTTTTTGAGGCTAATTATTACTTTTTAACTGACAAGGATGAAATTAAAAAAAATTATTTCATTTAATTTTAAATGGAGAAAGAATTGGGTAAGACTATTAAAGTTCTCGCCAAAAAAGCCTTTTGGCCACAAATCACATGTAAGTTGATGGTGTGAAGCAATAACGGATTTGTGCAACCATACCTCTGTTTTTCTGCATACAAGCTAAAGACGGCGAATATGCTGTTATTTTTCTGTCTCATCATCAATATCCAGTTTTATTTTTTGTGCTTTGTCTGGTCGTATTATTTTATGAAAAGTACACTTATATTCAGAACGTACATGAATTCATGCGGTCGCTCTTGCCAAATTAATATATAATAACTAACAAAATTAAGACTTT